AAAAAAAAAAAAAAAAAAAATGCAATGTTCAATCGTTTACATTTGCAAATTAAAAAATGTAGACCGATTCACGTACAAATAATCTCGTTAAGACATTTGCGACCAGCATATTTTTTTCCATTTCTTATACTAATTGTAAGTAATGTAAAAATAATGAGGTTTTGAAAAAACAATAATTTTTACATATATTCTATATATATAAATATATAAATATAAATTTAAATTTAATTAAATTAAATGAAAAAAAAAAAGTTAAATTTATATTTAAATAATAAAATATAGTTATTTGAACATTATATTTAAATACTATATTTAATATTATATATATATATATATATTAAAATAATATAATAATATAATAATATATAATATGTAATATATAATATTTAATTATATTAAAATATATTATTAATTAAATTTAATTAATAATAAATAAATTATATTATATTTGAGTAATTAAATATATATATATATATATAATACACTAACAAAGAAATAATAAAATAGTAATATACAAAATAACAATAAAAAATAATAATAATTAGAAAATAATCTAAATTTCTTAATTTATATATACATATATTACATAAATTTATTTTTATTAAATTTTTAAAATATAAACAACCAGGAATAGAACTTGAAAAGACTTGAATTCACGTCAGCGGTCGCAAATGTATTAATAAAGAATAATTTAAATACGAATTGATATTTTTATCTTTTAAAAGAAAAAACACACCCCAGTACTATATGAAATAAAATAAAAATTAAAAAAATATGAAATACCTTTGATAATAATTATGTCAATTTCCATACGTTTACCATGGAAACATATTTGTTAATTAAAGAACTTATAATTACAGATCGTAATTAGGTTAATATCAATTTTATCCGTCTCCTGTGAGATTCGCATTTGCTATTTGCTTTAAACTCCCACTATCAATGATTTATCAACTAACGTGATGTATCTAATTGAAAACATTTCAATACATACACACATACATACATACATACATACATACATACATACATACATACATACATACATATAATTAAAAAGAAACAAATATATAAATCCGTGACTTTTTTTTTTCTTCAATTGGTTGTATAATAAATACATTTGAAGGTTCACGTGTTACTTGTTTACCTAGATTCGAATTAGAAAACTACGAAGAACACCACATTGAAAAGAAATACGCGTGACTCACGCAACCAACGTACCTTTTTTTTTTTCTTCCTGATAATTAAATTCGATACTATGTGCATATATATATATATATTTTCTTTTTTCAAACACAACAAGTTAAACGTAGTTTATAAGTTCCGTGTTATTTTTGATTGAAATTATAAAAGGTAAGTTCCGGTGCTTTTTCACGCAAACGTGGCTGCTAAACTTACGTTAAAAGAAAAAAAAAAAAATGAAATAAAAGAATTAAAGAAACATTTGTTAACATTTTGATTACATATTACTTTCTTTTTCTATATATAAAAACTAGAGTATATATATGTATATATATTATATTATAATATATATACATATATATACTCTAGTATATTTAGTTTCTATATATATATATATATATATATATATATATATATATAAAACCACACAAATATACTATTTTATTATATTATATATAATAATATATATAATATATAATAATGTAGTTAATAAAGTATATATATATATAATATATATAATATATATAATATATTATAATATATTATAATATGTGTATAATATAATATACACATATATATAGTATAATATATTAAGTTTCTATATATATACTAAATAACTAATAACTAATAAATAACCCTAGTAGCACAAAATATTGAATACATGTTTATTTAATATTAAAACATGATTTAATGGGCTAATAATTTAAATAATACGTGGCCCAGTGCTGGGCCCATTAATCGGCCGATGATCAACTACCATTAATCGGCCGATGATCATCTACCATTAATGGGCCGGGGTTATCATTTCGATATTCAGCCCTCTATGGGCTATTAGAAAACGTCAATGATCGGCTGTTAGTTGTCATCCTTTGCCCGGTGATTGGCCATCCAAGGGCCTGTTTTCAAACTTTGTATGGGGAATTATTAATATCACTCGACTTGAAAAAAAAAAAAAATAAATAAATAAAAGAATAACTCCACCCCAACTTTTCACCTTCACCAACCCCTACCCCAACTTCTTCTTCATATTCTTCTTCTTCCTCTTCCTTTTCCGCGTTGTGTTTACACTTCCCTTATTATTTTHDTTTCAATTCTCATTCTAATATCTTCGACAAGGAAACATTTTTATTTCATAAAAAGAAAAAGAAATGAGAAATGTTTAATTGATCATTGAAGTTGAATTTTATA